TGTAATCATCCAGCTTTTCAACAGAGCCACCAAAGAGATCGAGGACGTCATGAGCGATCGCATCGTCGAAAGCAATGATGGCCTTTGTAAAAAGTTCAGAAATATCCTCTGGAGCGTATGTGCCTTCCTTGGTGGCGGCTTCCGCCTCCCTTAAGAAGTCCCGAACGATAATAGGTAAATGGTGGGCAACGTGTTCAACCGTGACATCACCAAGATGACCTTTACGAGAGAAACAGCGACAGGGTCGGCGGGGAGAAAAAAAAATTAGTCAACGGAACGCACCATCGAAAACCCCTGTGAACGTCCAGAGACGACCATGCACATCAAGCTGCGTAACAACATAGCGATCCTGCGTCTTCGTCGTTGGGGATGGTTGAAAGTTGATGCTGTCTGCCTTGTAGTTCCCTAGTTGACTGCTCTGTGGCTTGGCCAGTATCCTGAGTTCGCGCCAGAGTTCATCCTCGTCCAGGACCTGGTACGGACGCGGCCATGGGCCGTCCTCGGGTCCGCACCGATTGCCAGGTATATCTTCCGAGTATGCCCAGTTGTACGAGCTTGCGCGCTCGACAATCATAGCGACAAAGAGAAATAAACGCCGGAAGTATAATTCAAAAATGGTGGAGGAGAAGAAGGAGAGGAAAAGCAAGCCAAGAGACGACCGGAGAAAGAAAGGAAGGAGAAATTAAGGATGATGGAGGATTTAATGAAGGAAAAGAGGCGCGGTGTAGTCAGCAAGGTGAGTTCATCCACGCGACACTCAAGGTCCGATAAGACAGGCTTGAGAGAGGAGGACAATGGCAGCAAATCTGCATCCCCAATCTGGATCTCAGCCCAAATCCTGATGGCTGTCCCGAGGAATGATATTTCTGTCACGAGGCAACCGCTGCCCTGGTCGCAGCACAATATTTATATTCTTTCTACTATTTTAGTACCAATTGCAAGTGCGGGGTATCTTGCCTGCAATATGTCCAAGAAACAGACATCTATCACGCGACATGTCCTTCAGCGCTTCCGAACTCACCATCTCTTGTTTCTGTCATCCTACTGACAATTCGCCTCGGACTTTCATACCAATGTTTCGTTACACAAATCATGTCTTTATTAGATGGCTACATAGTATAATACAGAGAAGGATGCGTAAGTATGTATAAATGGAACTGTGCTTCGAACTAAGATGGTGTGGGGTAAAAGAATATCCTCCTGAAGTGCGGTCTATGTGCCGTCAGATTTGATGACGGAAGCAGATACGATGGGTATGTTTCCTGAGATGAAACTTCGTGAGGTAGAAAAGGGAATGACGATGAAGATGATAGAAGATAATATATCTCCGAAAGTCCATGCAGCAAAAAGAGAGAAGAAAAAACTCGTCACATCTGATAACTAATTGAATCGGTCCGTCAGCCGTATCGGAAGCGCGTCCGCGTCAGTCATATGAAGTAGAACAGAAAGATAGTGGTGGCGACTTAGTAGATTTCTTGTCTAAACGGGTTTCGGGATGACGAAGCACCCGTGTTCATTGGCTGAAGAACGATCGTGTCTAAAGGAGATTGCGGCTGTGGCTGAGGGACCGCACCATGCGGCACTGGCGTTAGCCAATATGAACCCTGGCCTCCAGTCGTGTTGGGCACCAGATGCACCGGTATGGGCATGAAACTGCCTCCAGTGGTAGTGGGTGCAATGGGGCCGACAATTGGCTGTGACGGTCCACCCAGAAGCCCGGCCTGACGGCCATCATATACGCCTGCGCTTCAGTGGGCGTGCTAGAGGTCGATGAGCCAGTGTTGGAGGCCATCTGCAGAGGGAGAGATGGCAGTGCCCTTTCATTTCCCGCAATATCCACAAGGACACCTTCTTTGGCCGGCTGACGCGTCTTGGAAGCGGTGCTGACACTACTCTTCGTAAACCTTGAAGCACCCGACGGCTCCCTCTTCAGAGGCTGACGCGGCTCAGGCGTATGCCTCTGGTTTCCCGTAATCTCCGAATAAAGCGAGTCGCGATCGAGACGCCGTTGCTGACTACGCTGGCCGTAATGTCGGTGTCGGCCTTCACCATGAACAGTCGATAGTACCCGACTCGTCCGAGAGGGTGCTGAACGATCATAATCGTAAGCATCAATATAGTTCGCTACATCGTCATCCTCCTCTTTAGTCGACGACGATCTACTTTCATTGTTGCCCATTTTTTTGAGTTTGATGTCTTGCCCATAACTTGTAATGCTTAATGGCTTCAATCTCGAGGCAGAAAAGCGATCATGATGGTTAGACGCGACAGGTAAGACTTCCTGGCCCTTCTGCAGCCTATTCGCGGCACGACTGCCAAATAACCTCTCTCCAAACTTAGCAAGACGCCACCTCCATCCGTGAGGGGAATCAAGCCGCTTGGCAGACGCAAACATTGCCGTTCTTTTCGCTCTTTGCTTCCTCGCCCTTCTCCGCCAAAGCATTACAATGACGAGGAAAATAAACGCGCATCCAAGTGCCATCAATAAAATCTCCCACCACGACAGTGTACGCCGGACAGGAACGATAGTAGGATCCGATAGGCCTGTGATGGAAGGTAAAGGTCCTGCTGTACCCGTACCGGATGTGCTGGGAACCTCCACCATTTCGGATAGACAAACTCCGAGTCCTGGAATAACACTCGATGACCCGTTACAATTTGCAGAAACACACGACCCAGCACGGAGGACCTGTGTGGTGCTAGAGCATGCTAGGCAGCTAGATGATCCGGACCCAGAGCAGCTTGAACAACTCGAGTCGCAGGCTTGGCATGAGGACGTAGTTTTGTCAAAAAACTGTGTTTTCGCGCATGTTGGGAGACATCTCCCGTTCGTGAGAACCGGAAGCTCTGAAGGGCAAGACGAGCATTGATTGAAGGAAGGTCCGGAACAAGTCGCACAATCCGGGTGACACTTGAGACAGGAGCCAGAGGAGCTGAATGTATTAGAGGGGCAGGCGGAGACACATTGACCTGAAGAAGCAAGTTGACCAGAAGCGCAGGTGAGGCAAAAGTCTGCGGAACCCGCACAAGTTCCGCATGAAGAAGAACAAGCTAAAGTGAGGCATATGAGCCGGTGCTATAAGGTAGTTAAATGAACAGCGCAGCATACCGGTGCAAGTTAAATTGTCCTGCGGGGACAAAAATGTGCCTGAAGGGCAGCTATCGATACATTTTCCTCCGGAAAGGACAAAGCCGGGTAAACAACCAGTGCATTGTAACTGATCAACGGTAGATGCAACGCTAAAGTTCGGAATTTTGCATGAGGTGCACTTGGCTCCACAAGCTAGGCAAGACAAATTAACGACAACAGCGGCCGTAATATAAATGAGACTTACTATCGCATTCATTTTTATTGTTGTCTGCAATCATTCCATTCGTGCCTTGACAGACACCATTGGTGTCGGCGCTGATGCAATTGCTATTGAAGAGGTAGGTTCCTTGAGCGCAAAGTATGCACTGGTTCGACGAAGGACCTGTGCAAGTACGACAAGAGGGAGAGCAAGGAGAGCACTGAGCACCTGCGCTAAAGCTTCCATCTGGACATACGGTTCCGCTCGATGTGCTCGAAGGTAAAGGATCACATTTAGTCTTATCATTGGCATTTTGCGTGAAACCTTGCTTGCAAGAAACACATTCGCCAGTACCATCCGAGCATTGAGAACATCCAAGTTGACAAACTATAATTCACGTCAGTAATCCTCTTTCAAAACATGGAGACGTGTAATTACCCTGGCAGTCTCCGGTCGAAGTGAGGAAGAAACCAGGAGCACATTGAGCACATGCAGTTCCATTCGATGAGGTTGTCCATCCAGGATTGCAGGTACACTGTCCATTTGCTCCACATTCTCCATTCAGGCAGTCACAGGTAGATGGCGCGTTGATTACATTTGGTGTCAAGCAACGGCCAGAGCCAGAAATACCCTGATCACAAGAGCCACACCCCGTAGGGCAAGGCTGGCATGTGGGTCCAAAGAATCCCTCGGCGCATGCTTCGCATGACGAACCGGTAAAACCAGTCGGGCAGGTACACGTTCCAGAAGCGGAACAAACACCATTTCCCGAACAAGGCGGAGAGCATGCCGAGGACTGAACGTTGAGCAGAGAAAGTGAGGTTGAGAAACCAGTGGGAAGCTGAGAAATGTCGGGCACGGCATCCCAAATGATAAAACGATCATTTGAACTTGAAGTCACCGCTGCCCACACGTTCTCGGATAAGACTAGAGACCTTGCTGGCAGTGGTGTTGAAGAGTTGAGGACCGGGGATGTTGGGAGCTGTGAGAATGCGCTTTGTCCGGAATACCTTGGTAGAGAGTAGATCGCCAATCCTGGTTCGAGGTCGATGTTGAGTGGTAAAGAGGAAAGTGACGTTACATTGAAACCTGGGGAACTGGTGATTGTGGCAGATGAAGACGTTAGCAAATTGTGAAGTAGTGCGGGGTTCGTTGTAGACGTGTATTGGCCTGGAAGTAAGAATAGAGTGGTAGAAATTCCTGAAGCAGAAAGCTTTGCACCAACTGGGCACGTATCAGCGAAGGTTCTCTCAAATAGATTGGGACAACACGTACTCGTGGCATTAGAAAAACCTTGCAGGCATTGGCCTGCAATGCATACAACAGAAAGTGAAGACTGCGCGACTGAAGACAGGTGAGGTCATGAACTGAAAGAGGACGGAGAGCACCAACCAACAGACGCGCTAAATGCAAAGCAAAGAACGACACTGAGCTTCGAGAACATCACAGTCGTCGAGCTCGTGAAAAAAGGGAAGATGGTGGTAGTGCAAAAGCAAAAGGCCGCTTAGCCGACGCCCTTGCCAGAAGAGCAATCCGAACTACGGCCCCAGTTCCCTTGGTTCTTGCCTTTCATTGTTCTCTGGCTTTGTACTCTACAATCTTCGGCTAAACACAATGGTGTGTTTGTATCACGTAATCCATGCCATCATTCTCCCACAGTCTGCGGGCTCAAATTAGCCTCAATTATACTCAGTTGCGCTCCGTTTTTAAGGGCTCTTGGCACAGGGGTAGCGCGCACGCTTCGCACCCGCGATATTGCGTGAGGTCGTGGGTTCAATTCCCACAGTGTCCATAATTTTTAAATCTTCCAGGCTTAGGGAAATGTTTTCGAACGGGAATTTGATTAAATAGAGCAGGTAATTCTTGGGCGACGAGTTGATGTCACCGTTCTCACGCTGAGATGTCACAGCGCCCCATGTCAAGACTCAAGAGATTGCATGTGGTGAATTCAATTCGTGGCGAAGCACATTTTTATGGTCCCCGAAAACACTACAGCCGACATGAAGCCTGATCTTTCGAAAATGCAAAACGTGGACCACATTTTTTCCCAGCTAAGAAGAGGACTACGATAGTCTGATGAAAGAATATTAAAACTAGCAAGTGCATTTATGTTTTCCACTTGTTGAGATAACGACAAAGTCCCAAGAACACAAGTGGGACTAGGAGCACGAGTAACTAATCTAGTTGTGCCCCACAGCACAAAACCAGGAGTTTATGATACTTGCGTAGCGATAACCAAAGTTCGGATCTAAGTAAGAGCATGGTTTCTCAGCGGAAAGTAGTGCACCCAAAAGGTGATGCCCCCGGAATCCCTTGATCATGATATGGCGCCTGCCAATACACCAGTACGTGTTTCGCCGAATAGAAACAAAAAATCTTCTGTGATGAATTTCCTCTCCAAGATGTGCTGTTCAGGAGGTGATGCAGGGGCCACGCCACCACCAACAAATTCAAGCCAGGTTAGAGCCAATGGAGCCATTCGCTCGAATGCCAGGACCGACTGTCATAGAGTATAGCCAATGTGCCAATATCGACTAGAAACGGGTAATTTAGAACTTGAGAATGTTCTCCAAGTATATGGAAGTGACAGTTTAGCTGGCGAGCCTCATGAAGTTCTGCGTTGAAATGACAAGAGCTGTGCCAACGCGCGAAACGCGAAAACAGCCCCCGCACAGCCAGGGAGTTTCTTACATAATGCCATCAATTTCCGTGTAAAAATTCCTTTTTAAACCGACGATCTCCCTCACCGCTTGTTCCACTCCAACAACCACCTTCCACTATGGCCAGACCAATCTACCCTCCTTCAGAACCATCCTCACCTTCCCCTTCCTCGTCGCCGCCATCACCACCAGTGTTGCAGCCCACCAACACACTTGCGGTGACTTCGCTCCCCAAGTCTTTTTTCGATCCCCTTATTTTGGATATGCTGCGCGATCATTTTGCTTCCTTCGGCGAGATTAACCAGTGGGTGCCCTTGCAAGGCTTTGGAAGGATCATTATCGTGTACGAGCATGAACGTGACGCTGAAATGGCCAAGCAGAAGAGCGACCCTATCGTCGTCGACCCTACAAGTGACGAGTGCGTAGTATGGTCCCAGCATCAACCTCGCGTCTCATTCTGACGATATTTACAGCTCCCAGATAGTGCTACGCGTGTACCGCGCTGACCCCAACCCCTTGATCCCAAGGGGCGAGCGATCTTTTGTTCCTCACTCCAGCTACCTCAAACCACCTGCAATTGAGAAAAACTTCCTCATCTCACCACCTGGTTCTCCGCCTGTTGGCTGGGAGCAAGTGAAAGAGGATCCACCCAACTCGACGCCTCTCGCAGAAGACCTCATTCAGGCCCTGCGAAAGCTTCAGACCTTCGATGATCAGCCTGCCTTTGAGCAACTCCTCGATCCACTAGACGGTTCTGGTGTGAGTGTATACGTCGAAAACTGCGATGCCGAATTCGACCTTGATGTCTCAGCCGAGGACTGGGTCTACGGTGAGACCGCCCCTGCCCGCGATAAGTGGCGACATTTCGCGACTGCCATGCCTCCCATCTCATAATTAAGTTTCTTGATTTCCTTTTTTGGTGAGTATCGTTCATACATCATTCGTGTCCTTCTCTTTTCCTTTTCCTGTGATGAAAACCTATCAGACCTGTTCCGAGCTCTGGCGCGGAGGACAACCGATATTGCCTTTTAATTTCTGATCCTTTTGATATGCTCTTCGGCATCTGATGACGTTGGTGCTAACCTACTTTCCTACCTCAGGTAACTGCATTGTCGAAATACTGTATGTTTATTGTGCTATACCCGTGAGTACCTACTCCCTTTCATTGCACCGCTGGATGAACACTATTCAGACCTGTTCTGATCCTTGTGGAGACAACCATATATTGCCTTTTTTTTTCTGATATTCTCCTTATGCCTTCTATCTTTTTGATTTCATCGGCGCTAATCTTGTCTTGATATACAGATTAATCTCCTTATTGCCTGTAAAAACATCAAATACCACTACGACCGCGCTACGATCCTTATGATTTTGTGATTCTTGGTCTTTTCCTTCAGTTCAACGCATTCCTATTTTATATTAGTTTTTTGTCGCGTTTGTTAATTTCGCTTTGCCACTGTACTCCATAAATCTCCTTCATGCTAGCACTTAGTCTCACACTGTGATTCCGCAGGGCCTGTATAATAGACCTATTGATTTTAATCGTACAACGATCAGCTCCGGTGCATGGCAAATAAATGCAAGTTATAACCAGGAAGATCGAATGAACCCAAAATGAACTGCTCATTATTAAGTGTCATTCATTAGTTTGGCGTGTCACTCAACAGAAATGCAGATACGAGTTATTATCGCCTACGTTCACTTCTCCCGCAGGCGTCCTTCAATCTGAGCCTTCTTCGCACCAAGAGCCTGGATCTTCTCGTCTTTTGAGGCATCATAAGAGATGGTGGTTTGGTTGAATCTGAAATAACGAGCTGAGAGGGATCGAAAACTTCATATGATGATTTAGCTTACGGATTCTCAGGTGCTTTCTGGAATTGCTTATAGATCAGATCCTAGAACAAGGTTTTGTCAGTTGTGTGGGCTCCGCAGATAATCGTCGTGGATTGACCTTATATTGTTGCAGCCGTAACCCAGGATGCTGAAAAGGAAGATTATAAGTAATCGCTAGATATCAAGACCGCTTCATTTACCTCTTCCTTGAGTTTTGGAAGTTCGCGTTCAGTATACGCTTCCAGTGCTCCCTGTAGAAAATGTCGCATCAAATTGTCGGCCGAGATCTTGCACATTCTCTTCACACCTTGAACCGACGCTAAGAAAGGAGAAATAAGAATTTCCAGAAATCGAACTGAGATGTGGGAATCCGATCGCACCTCTGGATGCTGTTCGATCTTCGCGGCTTGTTGACCTACGCTTGCCTTGTCCATCTTGGCAGTGACAATTTCTAGTAGATCGAGCGCGTTATCAATGCCAGTCGCCGCAAAGCTCTCCACCTCCGCCGGTGGCTCGTTCGATTTGGAAGACGGCCCAACATCTGAACCATCCAAACTACCTCCAGCAGCAATCGCACCAGGACCAGCGGGCTTGACAACGGGAGCAGCTTTCTTCTTTGGACCTGTAGCTTTAGGTTTTGCTGAAGACATTGACGCCTCTTCCTCTGCAAGAAGACGAGCGGCCTCAGCTTTGCGTGCTAGATCGGCCTTTCTCTTCTCTTCTTGAGCCTCTTGCTTGGATTTTCCACCTTTCACGTCTTTGTCTACCCATTTATCCGCTTCTTTCCTCTCCTGCGACGCACAGTTATGTCAGAAAGTAATATAGAGGCTGGAGCATAAATTTGACGCACCTTCTCGGCAGCAGCGGCCTCTTGTTTCTTGGCTTCATTTTCTGCCTTCTTGGCCCTTCCACTCTCTTTTTTTGCGTTATTTCCTTTTGGCGCCATATCAGCAAGTTGGTTTGGTGAGAGTCAAAAGGACGAGGCTAGAATGACTCGGCAAGATTAGTTATGATGACGTACGGAATCTGACTTTATCTTATCGATCTTACTGAATGAGACATCTTATCTTATCTGATTGACCTAAGTTACGGACTTCGGCCGATTCCGATCTATTTTCGTCTGTCTATTTTGCCGACGCCGATAGGGTTGGATCTCTCTCTTGATACCCCTCTGCTTCCTCAACCGAGCCTCTTCTGCCATTCGACTGCTCAGTTCTACCAACGAATTCTGTTTGACTGGGGGCGCCAATAGTGGGGGGATTTTAACCTCCTCACTTCTCTCGCATGGTGTCGGTGTTTCGATAGCTCAGAAGGCTTGTTTTGTCCAAAGTGTCCAATAGCACAAGTACAACGGCGGATCTTGTGCAAGGGTTTATTTACGTTGCTCTGGAGTCTCTCTGTTCGGTTCCATACTCCTTTGTCTGGCGCAACAGGGATGCCTCATCTCTTCGTCGAAGGAGATACCGATCTGAAGGCGCAGCGGACGCCACTCCCTGTTGGACAGCTTGCAATTCTGTTGCTGCTGCGATTTTGTGAATCATCTTCGACATTCGTGATCTTTCCTTTCCTCAACGAGGTCAGTGGCATTGGCGTATATTTGTCTGTTTCATATTTTAATCAATCTCTACTACAGCTTTTGGCTTCGGTCACTGGAGGAGATGACGCGAAGGTTGGATATTACTCTGGGCTCATGGTCCGTTCTCACTGCGAAGCCAACTTCTTGGATGCAATTGGTCTCACAATTTAGTTTGATTTTTAGGAGCTCATCCGCCAGTCGATATCCCTCATCAGTGTCATGTATTGGAGTCGTTTATCCGATCATATTGGGAGAAAGCCTGTTCTTCTCCTAGGCACATTCGCGCTTGCTATCTCGACGGTGTCCTTGGGTCTTTCAAAAACCTTTCTGAGTCTTGTGCTGAGGTGAAGGCGGTTTCATTTTTTGAATCTTCGCGCAGTTTGACTTATCTATTCCCAGCCGCTGCATCTTTACCGCTCTCAATAGCAATGCTGGTAAGCATGCGGATCTTCATTTAAAAGTAGTAGAATTTAATTGTGTCGCAGGAGTTATCAAGAGTATGGTGGGCGAGATCACGGATCATACCAACAGCGCAGATGCATTCGCTCTGCTTCATGTTCCATGGGCAGCGGGAAGTTCCTTTGGGTACGTCTGTTCTCATCTGTCTGAACGCTTAGATGATTGTATCTCTCATTTCTTCAAGTGCATTTGCCGGCGGCTGGCTTGCCAGACCCCACGACCATTTTTCGGAAAGATTCGCAGATCCATTCTGGGTGACATATC